AACCCGACCTAAGGAAGGAGATGTGTTGAAGTTGTACCTCTCTGCGAGTGACGAGCTAGTCAGCTCGGTGCTAATCAAAGAGGAAGATCGGGTTCAACGACCCATCTACTGTGTAAGTAAAGTGTTGTAGGATGCAGAAACCAAAAACCCCGATATTGAGAACCTAGCGTACGCACTAGTGGTAGCAGCTCAGAAATAAAACCCATACTTCCAAGTCCATACCATCATCGTCCTTACTAATAGACCTCGGAGGAATATCCTACTTAAGCCCAAGGTGTCAGGAAGATTGACGAAGTGGTCCATCGAGCTTAACGAGTATGACATCCGATTCGAGCCATGGCCAGCAATCAAAGCGCAAGTCTTGCAAGACTTCATAGCAGAATGCACGTTCAGCATACCGGCCCCTGAATTGACTAAGCCCGCTAACACGACGGAGGCGTCGACCAGTGCAGAACCGGTCCTAGTCAGATCAGTACCAACATGGGACGAGGAGCCCTAGATCCTCCATGTTGACTGCTTGTCCAACCAGCGAGGAAGCGATGCGGAAATGATATTGTACGGCCCAAGCAAGGTGAAGTTGGATTACGCTCTCCAGTTCGGACACAAGGCGTCGAACAATGAGGCGAAATATGAAGCACTAATTGCAAGGCTGAACTTAGCAAAGGAAATGGGAACAAAACACCTCATCATCTGCAGTGGTTCTCAACTAGTGGTTAACCAAGTCAATGGTGACTATGAAGCACACGACTCGACTATGACAGCCTACCTGACCAAAGTCCGAGAGTTCCTACCAAGCTTTAGCTCTTGTTTTATCAGGCAAATTCTGAGGTCCAAGAACGCTAAGGCCGACGCCTTATCATGACTAGCAAGTACAAATAACAACACTATGCGAACTGTGTACATAAAGGACTTGCCTCGGCCTAGCATTTTTGGGGGAGCAAAAGAGATTGTTCCCGTGTTGCAAGTGGAACCGAGTTGGATTRATAAGCTCATTGATTATCTACTCCACGGGACCCTACTTGTGGAATGCAACGCAGCTCGGAGGGTAGAGCATCAATCAGCCTGATACGTTCTCATAGACGGATGACTGTATAGGAGATCCTTCACGCTCCCCTACCTATGTTGCTTGCGACCCTCAGAAGATGAGCTCATACTTTGCGATATCCATGAAGGTTTATGCGGAGGACAGTTGAGGGGCAGGGCCCTCGCCCAAAAGCCATTAAGACAAGGCTACTATTGGCCCACAATGAAGGCAAACACACTTGAGCTCGTTAAGAAATGCGACAAACGTTAGAGGCATGCCAACATCCCCCATCAGTCTGTTGCCGATTTGAAGTATCTTACTAGCCCGTGGCCTTTCGCGTAGTGGGGAATCGATATCTTCGGTCCTTTTTCTTCGGCAACTGGGTAGAGGAAGTTCTTAGTCTTGGTAGTAGACTACTTCACGAAGTGGGTGGAAGCTGAACCGTAGGTGAGCGTTACGGCCTGGAACGTGCAAAATTTCTTCTAGAAAACATCATGTGCAGTTTCGGACCGGCCAAAGTCTTGATTTTGAATAACGGGAAGCAATTCGAAGACATCAAGTTCCAAAACTGGTGCGTCAAGATGGGGATTCAGCAAAACTTCACCTCGRTAGTGCATCCACGAGCGAACGGATAGGCCGAAGTGACGAATAGGGCTATCCTCCGCGCATTGAAAGCTCACCTCGTGCGAGATAAAGGCTTTTGGGTGGACAAACTGCCTAGTATCCTTTGGACCTACCGGACTACCATCAAAACCGCGATCRGCAAGACACCCTTCAACCTCACTTATGCTTGTTTAATTGAGTTTTATATATTCGAGGGAATACACAACGATCATGACATTGGTGGATGGATCATTGATCCAATCTTTGTCTAATCCCTTGTCAACTAGAAAGGAATGATACCTGAAGAASTTAACCAATGACAAGCCCACATGAATTACAATGAATGCATGGCATCAGTTGATTAGTTAAAAATTGGATGATAACATTGATTGGTCATGAGTTTAATTTTTAGGTTTTGTTATCCCACTTTCCATGACATTCTTACCCCTGTTAAGGGCCATACTGTGTGTTAATTTGGAAGTCCTCGTTTGAGTGAATTGGGATTTTGTCCTCACACCGTCCTCCCAACAAGTCCATCCATGTATTGGGAATATCTTCCCATTAATGAAATTATACAAATATAGAGATGTTCTGAGTGCACAACTGCAGATGTTACCAAGACARTGTGAAGACTAGATTTGTGAGGATGAAATTTGATTCAATTCTTACTGACTCAAGTAACGATCTAGGCCATGTTTGATTCAACTCTCATTCTAATCTAAGATGAAATTTTAAAATAAAAAAATGGGTAGCAATAACCAAACATTTTTTTCCAATAAAATACATTCCACCAATGCCCAAAATCATCCGCATAGATGTTTTTTGGTGGATAGCCAACGATCAATGCCCATTGGTACAAGTTTCAACGTAATCCACCAACAAACATTTATGGTGGTAATTTTATAGACCTAGCAGGTTGGCTGTTTATGACCACTGACATAGAGTTTCTTTAAAGAAGGAAAATAAGCAAGAT